CCCCAGGTCTAGAAATTAGACGAGCCTACCAAGAACATTATATGGTAGATACAAGTATAATACCTAAACATATTTCCTCAGAGACCTGCACCAATATCACATGTTCCCTTGTACCACAGTATTTGAGTCCTGGTATATGAATGCTGGAGATTCCCATGTTCTTATTTTCCCCGAGTCAAACATGCCGTAGCAGCATGGCTGTGTGCTGCTTTAACACCAAAACATAAAAGGCTAGCGGTCTTTAAACTAAGCTTTACCAAGAAATATTGTTTAAGTATTTAGTCATTTCCTTACCAAGAAATAGTGAAAGCATGAACTGCTACAGCATAATTTCCCACTTCAGAATTGTCAAGTCATATCATTTATGCATTTTGTTTAAAATTTATGTACCACATTTTTCCTAGAAGCCATCATAAATGAAATTTATATTTAAAATGGCAAAATATTTTTAACTTTACTTAGTTCAAACAATATCTCCATGAATACAAAATGTAGACATAATCAAGTACAGTAATAATTATCAGTTATAATAAATCTTTAACGTAAATTGTTGTATGTAAAATGGATAAATGTCCAGTGAAATTTATTATTTGTACATGGATTTTTATATTTTGAAACTAATTGTTTGTAGATTACTCATACAATTGAAAATCTTTGATGATTTTAATGGATTCTCAACAAATCTCATATTGCCGTGAATTAGCGACGTTACATTGTTTAATAACACGATTAACCAAATTCAATAATAATAATATATTGTATGCAAATGTTCCTCCTCCATTCTGATACGCTTTAGCACCCAGTGAAACAAAAATATCACCTCTGTAGCGTCACACACTAGGTTCACACAAGCAACAATCGAGACCTTTTTTAGTCTTTTATTCTCGAGACCTTTTTTAAACAGTCTTTTATTCACATTGCAGAGTGGTTCAGTGTTTACAATATTGATAGAGAAAGCATTACACAAAACAGAAGCCGTTGTAAAATATCTAGATTTACACATCTGGCCATATTCCTAATTTGTTGATTTGCATTAGGAAAATGCTGCCGTATTTTAGTAAAGCATTTGCAAAATTGTTCTTTAATGCTTCCAGTAACTATGTTCCCTAAGATTACTATATATAGAGTACTAGGGGGATACCCGGCATTGCCCGGGTCTGTTTGTCTGTCAGCAATCTAACTATTCATCTATCCATCCATATACCTATTTATTCATCTATATATCCAGCTATATCTATCCACCTATCCAATCCAACTACTCATCTATCCATCCACTTTTCCATCTATCTACTGTCTCATAAAAAATATAATTGTCTAATGCGTGGGTGTCTGCCAGTGATGATTTTAGTTGTGTGAAATGCTATATTAAAAAAAAAAATCTTACTCTGTTAAAGGGCTGTGGCTTGAGAAACCTTTGAAGCTGTGGAAGAATCATCTGTTTTATGCAAGTATGGGCAAATTATTCACAGCAGAATATGTATGTTAGTACTGTATTGTGAATAATATTAGCTTCACAAAATTTTCAAACCGATATCGGTGAATAATGGTGCATATTATGAAAAGAAAATAATATTGTTTTGGCAAATTTGTGTTGAAAACATTTAGCCGTGCAGCTGGCAGGTAATGCCAAAAATTGATTGTGGGATTCTGAATATGACCCTGGTCCATTGTTCCCTTTTGAATTCTGGCAAACCTGTCCAGCCTATGTTCCTCCTATACCCCAGACCATTCCCTCTGCTAATTTGGGGAAGGCTAACCCCAACCGTGTAGCCTCCAACTTTGAACAGACAAAGACTGAAAGACACATTCATAGATTACAGATTAGGCCACTGAAGGATTTCAATAATACACACGAATGTAGCAAAACATTCAATGAGGTATTCTATGCCAGTTCAAAGTACTGTCACAACAATACATGACTTATCCACAATATTGTTATCTCACGAGTCATACTAGTGATAACCAACAATTTTGTCATTTGTTTAATAGATAATAAGTCTCGTTTCAATTGAAATTTGTATCATACATCTCACAGCATTTCAGGTAAATTTTGAGCAATAAAAGAATATGTTAAAGTGCATATTAGTTATGTTATGGTCACTGCATACTTACTGTAAAGTAATTCAATCTTTAAGTGATCTTTTTGCTAGTTATTCAATATGGGTTTGCATGTTGTGTACATTATACAACAAAGTACCTCAAGCCATGGTATAAAGCACATAACAAATTAGATTAAGGCTTCAGTACAATAAGCTTTTCTCCATTTGCACAAAAAAGGTTGACAATTTTTAGACATTATTGATGCCAAAGTTGGTGCCAGTGTTGGCACCAGTATCTCAAATACAGTCAGGCCTCTCACTTTCAGTTTCTGCATATTTAAAATTATTTTTCAAACAGCACAACATTCACAAAAATATTTTGAAATTAAAGGCACCCTTCCATTTTCAATCAGTTCCTGGTATGTACAGCACAGTCATATTTCAAGAGAACTTCAAAAGGCATCCACCTCGCAAAAGGGTTAGTACGAGGTCTTGATACGGTAACGATCAGCTTTTTCCACATCAAACTGAACAACATTGTATAGTACTGTACCTGTAAACTTAGCCTTGCTCCAAGATGCAAGGTGGTTCAAAAATCTACCGAGTAGCTATCATTGTTTCTGCACAAGCGACAAAATAACAAAAAATTACAAATACTCAACCCAAATCTTGTCAAACTTTTCAACATTTTTAAACATGAATATAAAAGTAGAGATGCATATTATTTAACCCACATATGACTGCTATAATTAAAAGCCTTTTCAGTACATTTTTATTTACTCAAAATACATCGATAGGCAACTGACTCTTTCTTAGTTACCAGTGTCATTAAAACACATCCAGCCAAAAGAACTGCACTAAGCAAACGTCTTGCCTAATGACGTTCTAAGTGATGAAAGAGATCCTCATAATGGCAGGTTATGCCGTTCAACTAATGGGGAAATACTGTACAAATATATATTTGACTTTTGCTTCCATTTCAGGCAAAATTGTTAGAGCCAGTCATTACGTTCATTAACACTCCATTTACTTTCTCTTAGAATACCAGAGTGCATAATAAAATTCTGAAAAGATTCTCCAACTGATAGTTAACAACTGAAATGATTTAATAAATAAAACCAACAGCAAATATGAACTAGCTTTAAAGATATGAGCCATAACGAAAAATTAATGTGTAATGGAAAGCCTTTTCACATAACGGAGGAAAGAATTATTTTTAAAAAGGGTTTTTAAAAATGTAACGTGCTACATACACAAAGTACTTTGTGAACTTTTACCAATCAAAAATAGAATGTCTTATTATACAATAATGTACACAATTTTAAAGAATGGCTTTATATTCGTTCCTAAATACTGTTCTCTAGAAAAGAAAATGGGGCTCAGGAGATACGGAATGAAAAAGTATTTATAACAGGATGAATACTTCCTTTATTCTGTCACTTCAATATAATGCTTTAACATGACCTTCCACTTTCTTTTCTGAATATTAAGTATTCAAGATCTGCAACACTTGCAAGCTCGGCAGATTTTGTTCAAGTGCAACCTAAGAAATGAAGGCTATGCATCAACACCAAGGGGACACAGGTGGAAACTTAGTACCCAGAGACGTTAGAAAGAATTTTTTCAGTGTCAGAGTAGTTAATAAATGGAATGCACTAGGAAGTGATGTGGTGGAGGCTGACTCCATACACAGTTTCAAATGTAGATATGATAGAGCCCAGTAGGCTCAGGAATCTGTACACCAGTTGATTGACAGTTGAGAGGCGGGACCAAAGAGCCAAAGCTCAACCCCCGCAAGCACAATTAGGTGAGTACATACCATTACATACCGATGTGAAAATATATGTTTATACCTCGCAAGGAATCTCCCCTCTACATTATGCTTTAATAATAAAAAAAAAAGTCAGATTACTTAAACTTTAAGTAAATAATTGTAAGGACCGAATTACCCTTCAAAACACCTGACGAACTTTACTCCATCTCCTACATGAATTATGCTACTAATAAAGTCTATTGCAAGACTTTCATTCGATCCTTACAATTGTCTTCACATTAAGGCTTACTTATTGTTGAAAGAAAAAGGTCTGACTGTATTACAGTATCAATAAAATATTCAATGAAATGAGTGTATTATCCTGCAGACTTTTATCATAATATATTATTTTCTGTTATTACCAGTTATACAATTTAATTATTTCAGTTGCAAACATTTGTATTAACACTTAATAACTAGATAAAATTATATAAATATATATGTATGATAATTGTGTAGCATATATGGACACCTAATGTTATCATCAATTACAAAACTCCGATAATAATGAAATACACCCATCAATGGTATTGAATGGGTGTGAGAATAGCTTGAGCTACCTCATCCCTTTGTGTGTATTTTACCTCAATAAACTTATTTCAATTTCAATTTCAACACCCATCAAAATCCACTAAATGACAATCAACAACTTGAAAATGGAGCTATATTTAAGCAATTCCTTCTCTTGGACTGGACGGTAGCGCGACTGTCTCGCTTCTTGCAGGTTTGGGTTCAATCCCCGACCATCCAGGTGGTTGGGCACCATTCCTCTCCTTCGTCCTATTCTAAATCCTTATCCTCATATCCCTTTCAAGAGCTATATAGTCGTAATGGTTTAGTGCTTTCTCCCGATAATTACCTTACCTCCTGAATTTATAGTACTATACTCTCTGTCCTGCATACTGATTTGTATTAAGCTCTACTTTTAACAGTTTCTAGATATTACGTTGTTTTCAGAGTACAGAGACTTTTAAACAGGAATTTTGCTCAAAGGAGAAACAAAAATGTAATAATTTTAATTAGCATAAACTTAGGCCGTAAAGGTATGTATATATGTATATATGTATATATGTGTATATATATATATATATATATATATATATATATATATATATATATATATATATATATATATATATATATATATATATATATATATATATATATATATATATATATATACACAGTAATTCCTAAGATATGACATATGGCCTTCTCACGCTACAGATATGAACAACTGACAATGCACCACACAAGAATGATGCACACACACTCGTCGACATGACTGTCTAATCAATGATTACTAATATGCAAACTAAATAAAAATGAAAAACTTTCTCATCAGATACAGAAAGTGACATGCATTCCATCAATACAAAATGAGAGAAAAAAATATATAACAGGGTCAACATGGTCAATTACAGATACCCCATACAGACAAAAGTAATACAGGAACAGGAATCTTCTGGGGCTACTATATACGACTGGCGTGGTCTTAGCTTTGGGGATCTAGCCGGGCCAGCAGCCTCTCCACTGCAGCGTTGACATCACCAAAAGTGGCAATAAGTGCTGCAAATGAAAGTAAGTTAGCGTACACAGTTTGGCCTTATTTCGGCTTTTAAAAGATTAAGTTACATTTCATTATAACCAGAATCAAATATTGTATGCAAATGACAGGTTTTTGAATTGAATACAATAATTATGCTACCCTGAGAAGAGTAAAGTTCACATTTTTTCACATTGACAAATTTTAAGAAACAGTAAGCCTATTCTCATATCTGGCAGGTCTTAACATACTACAGTATTTAGTTGTTATACAATGTATACATCAAAATCCAGATCATACAATTTCAGACCCAGAGTTGGGTTTGTTAATAACTGCCCATTTGAGCCATTTAATCACCAAATTTTTCACATTTTCAATAGTAAGCTAAATATGAGCAATTAAATTTTTTAAATATGCTCAATGGCTTTCCCAAGGAACAAACTGCTTCTCTTACAGTTACGTTCATCTACGAACATTTATAAAGGTGCCATCAAAGCCACATTAAAGAATTATTAAAAGAAGGCACCACGCTGGGAAGACTACGTAGCACCGACTGTACAGCCGAATATTCAAATAGCGCTAAACGTCACTCGGGATGGTACTGCGAGAACGAAAGGACATATGGCAAGTGATATCAAAGATATCAGATTCACCAAGGATTCTATCCAGGGAGAAATGACCCTGAGACACATTAGGAAAGCAAGATATACAATCATCCTGAAAAATTGGGACATTCTACAAAGGAGGTGCAGATTAGGAGGGACAATGCAGGAAAGGTTAATCTACCTCAAACCACAACAGTGTACAAAAGGATAATGGATAAGCAGTGAAATCATACAGGAATTAATTTTAAGAGGTAATATTTAACTCAGGGAGCATAGGTGTGTTTGCACAAATCGACCAAGGCCTGAAGGCCGTAAGCCAATCACAAATACGAGCAGTGACATCAGTGATGACATCAACCATTGAGCAGTATGGATGAAGATGAAGGGGCCAGTTATTCAGAAGCCAAGGTGAACAGAGGTGTCCCTGGGTCCAGAATCGGAGATCGCCATGCCGAAGCTGGTACATTACATATTGCCGTGATCAGAAGCCATTAAAAGCAGCTTGTTTATGGAGCATAACCAAGCAAACATTGCGCCAGCCAGAAAAATGACAGGATGGATTACGAGAACTTTCAAATCCAGGTATCCCATTACAATGGCTGTACTAATCAAATCACTTGTGCTGTCCTGTATTGAGTACTGCTCAGTACTCACTTTCCCCCTTAGAGCAGGAGAGATTGCTGAAATACAGGGAGTACAGAGGACAGATATATCAAATACACATGGAAAATACTGGAGGGCCAGGTCCTAAATCTACACAGTAAAATAACATACTGGAGTGAACGCTATGGAAGAAAATGCAGAACAGAACCAGCGAAGAGCAGGGGTCCACGGTTGTTCAATATTCTCCCAGCAAGTATAAGTAGTATTGCCGGAACAACCATGGATATCTAAGAGAAAAACTAGATATAGTATGTAGTTTTCTTCAAGAAGTGCTGGACCAACAGGGGTGGATGTGTGGGCCTGCGAGCTGCTCCAAACAACAGCCTGTTGAACCAAGCTCTCACAAGTCAGGCCTGGCCCCGGGCAGGACTTAGGGAGAACAACAACTCCCAGGACCCCATCAAGCCGGTATCAAGCAGGCAGCTCAAATTGTGACTGAAGAATTCTTATGTTTTTGACGTCACAGGAGAGACAACCTGTGGATGAGGAACCTCAGTACAGGGTGTTTTGATCCAGAGGAGCAGCACTCCAAGAGTCGAGAAGTTGCTTGGAGGAAACAGCGTGACTGGCTTTGGAAGAAGTAAGACAGGTGTAGCGCCCTTGGCTTCTATTCATCAATGTGGGCTGACCAGCAACTACTGTATTGTTTAAAATCAAATTGTGAGAAGACCCAATTACAGTACTGTACTATACTGTGAACTTTGGTAAATTGGTTAACAATGGATGTAACCTCATTTGGTGTGCTTGAATATTTACAGTGAATACCACTCAATTAGGGTAGTAATAGTAATTAGTGTGTAGGGGTAACTATAATGAACAATGGTGAATAATACAGAAACAGTGCCTATTAGTGTTGCTGCTACACTGACTTACAAGGTATAGTATAGTAAACACAGGCATAGTTGACAAAGCCACTGAACAGTGCGGGATGCATGTGTTATTCGCATTGGAAAATTTATTACAGAACACATGGCACACTAGTTTTGTTGACAATGATTGACAGTAATGTATAAAACACAAAATATAAAATAGTAGTTTTATTAAAATAGGCCAGTGCTCTACATTCCCATATCTACCATAAACCTATCCAAAGGTCTAGGTTAGGCAAGGTTTCATTATACAACACTCAATTTACTCTATAGAAAGCATTGCGCAATTCCTTCATATAGCCGCTCTCTGAAGACGCACAAAACTAAATACAGTAACTGTAATTCTCGTTGTTAGGAACAGGAAGCCTGTACAGTACTTAGGATTATTGAGGTCTCCATCTTCTAATTACTGACCTTCCTCAAGATGCTGCCAATGATAGTTACCAAATGCCCAGATTTTCTTCTACTGCAGTAATTGTAAACAGGATCCACTGTTCTGAACCAGTCACACTGAACACTCCTCTAAAAAGAGCCCTAACACAACAGTAGAACTTGAACCCTCTCCTTCACTAATTCAGACCCATTATTTTTTTCTCTTGTTTCCCTTAATAGTTAAGCAACTGCTATCAATACACACTCAGCAACTCCAAATAAGGAAAATATTTATATAACCCTTCAAGAAGCTGCAGGAATAATGACCTAAGTGCATGAATTTATAAGATGAACGCATGTAAAACTGGTGCCATTAATCAACTTACGAGTTCCAAACTACAGCCAAGGAAAGCCATAAAATTGTAACTTTTGGACCGTCTTGTAGAAAACAATTTTATACATTATCTCACTTCTTAACTTACTGGTTAGACCTAACACATTATGCCAAAATAAAATAAATATTACAATTAACAAGACAAAAGATAGAATTTTGCAAAGCATTTTGATAAGCAGTTACGATAAATATAAAAAAATATTAAAAGAATTAGAACTGCATTGTTGGGAGATACAGAGCTGGAAAAGCACGTACAGTTGTTATCCTGAGATGATTTCGGGCTTAGCGTCCCTGCGGCCCGGTCCTCGACCAGGCCTCCTTTTTGTTACACATCCCCAGGAAGCAGCCTGTAGCAGCTGTCTAACTCCCAGGTACCTATTTACTGCTAGTTGAACAGGAGCATCCGGATGAAGAACTGCCCATTTGTTTCTGCCTCCACCGGGGATCGAACCCGGAACCTCAGGGCTACTAATCCTAAGCACTGTCCACTCAGCCGTTAGGCCCCTTAGTGCCTCGGTGTATGAAATAAATCTATTCCATACAATCAAGAGAGAATTCAAGAGCTAACTAGGATACAAGCGTAAACTGATCTTGCCAACCGAGACAAAAAAATTAACAAGCGGTTTGTACTTTGGCACAAATGTCGTACACCAGGGCATTTTTTCAGACAGAAGTTTTGTCATACACCAAGAAATTTGTATTCAGGTGCAATTGTACATCGAGCTACCGCTGTACTTCCTTGGCACCCTTCAACATTTTGTACATGTGTTGCCACTATCTGTAAGTGGGTTACAGAATATTACTATATACAAAGCACTTACCTTGTAGATTTGCCTCACGATTAATGAAACCCATTGCAGATAGTTGTTCCAGCTGTGACGCATACTGTTGCTCTGGGTTCCCGACATTACTTCCACCACCACCCCCGCCGCCACCACCAGTTAGAGCCTGCGACTGTCAACAAACAATGTGACTTATTAGATCACTGAAAATCCCATGCTCAAGACAAAATTATTGTTGCTACAAAGGCTCTAAACATTTGAGAAACCTTGATGCCATAATAAATATAGACCAGACTGAAACACTGAATATATATAAGATATAAAAATACCACATGCTGACCAAAATGTTATGGTACCTCCAAAACCAATATAGAGTTTCTCTATAGATGCCTAATTGTCTGAAATGGCTAATGTATTTGAACATATATACATCAATTGGAATTTTTCCAGTTGCCATTGCCGACTGAACAACTATTTTGAATGGGGCCCCCATCTTGTGCATCCAAACTTCTGTTGCATCTTACTTTTTCTTAATTTTACCAATTTATAAAAAATGCTTACCAGAAATAACAATATTCATGTATATTTCTTAATATTTATTTTTTTACAATAAAATTAATATATAGCAGTATAGTATATAAAACCTATATTTTGATCATGTTTGCAGTGAAAATACACTTGTTACCTTTAAGCACCAAATGTACAACTCTACAGTTGAACAAATGTACAGTCTGTACAATTAAATAAACTTCCACTCACTATGTACAATATTATTTGTAGTCGTGTGCTAATAGTACTTATGGACCAATCATATTTTAGCCTATTTTATTAACATTTTCCAATTGCTATTTGATATCCTAGAATATTAGCCCCATTTGAACTGTTTTAAAGAGCTTAATAATAGTTGACAACAATAACAGATATTATTAACTATTATTGTCTTTCAAGTTGCATAAACTATCCAAAGATGTCAACGCAATAATGGCAAGTGGCAGGAGAGTATTTTTGCTATTAAACCTAAAACAGATTAATTATATACAAATCATAGGATCATATATACAAACGAATTTAACATATTCGAGAGGCGGGACCAACGAGCCAAAGCTCATTCCCTGCATGCACAACTAGGTGAGTACAAAGCTATAAAGTTAAAATATACATTGTGGAGGATTTGTGCTTTATACTCAAGTTAAAAAGCTCAAAAACTAAAATTTGGGAGAATAAACATCTCTGCAAGCTCTGTAATTATGGAACAGCATATTTTGAAGAATGTTTTTATAAACGAGATATTTTTGGAGGGGAATTTTTGTTATTAGAAAACAAATTAAAAATGTATGTTTTCAGTTACAGAACTTTGTTCTTTCCCATGACACCAAACACCTACCTATGCAGTAATATGTATAAAACCTTTTGGCACTTTTAAAGACAATTTTTTTTTAAAGTTACCTTAAGGTTTCAGTAACCTTATATTACAGTAATATTGCAATACTATAAAAATAATAATGAGTACTGCAATATAAAAATTTACAAATCTGAAAAAACCATGTTCAAGAATGAACTTCATTTAGACCCCTTAAAGATGTGAGTATTCAGCTGTCTGGTTCCACTTGAGGTTATCTTGAGATGATTTCAGGGCTTTTTTAGTGTCCCCGCGGCCCGGTCCTCGACCAGGCCTCCACCCCCAGGAAGCAGCCCGTGACAGCTGACTAACACCCAGGTACCTATTTTACTGCTAGGTAACAGGGGCATAGGGTGAAAGAAACTCTGCCCAATGTTTCTCGCCGGCGCCTGGGATCGAACCCAGGATCACAAGTCCAGCGTGCTGTCCGCTCGGCCAACCGGCTCCCCGAGCCTAAGAGCCCCGACTTCTAAGCCTTCAACAGACTAGCATAAAGTATCCAGTTTTATTTGGCTGTCAGATCTACAGTTAAAGCTGCATACAGAGTCCATCTCAACTACTTTATTTCTTGGGTTACATTATCTGTTTCAGCCACGTTATTGTGATGTATTCACCAAGTAACAACACTACGACTTTAGTCATATACAACATTTGTGTTACTCTTACCATAGTAGACATTAGGTTTGCAAAAGCATCAGTACCAGGAACAAGTCCTGGTAGAACAATTGGTGTCGACGTAGTGGATGTGCTGCCTGTAGTTGACGAGGTGGTGGTAGTGGTTGGGTTACTGGTAGAGGAGGTGGTTGTTGACTGGCCTGTGCCACCTGCTGATGGGATGACTGGTGGCACACTTAATCCCATAGTATTGAAGAGGCCCGGAGAGGTTTGTCTCAGTTGCTCTAAGCCACTTTGTATCTGAGCAACTGCAGACAAGGCCTGCAAATTAAACAATTTAAAAATGTGTTTTTAGTGCTAACTACCTCAGTAAGTTTTTATTAATCAAAAATTCTTGAGAAATTATAAATTTCTAATGATCATAGACATTGGTACAGTTGATGCCACAGTAAAACCTAAGCCAATGTCAGTGTCCAAACTCTGATGCCAGATCTAGTTGTTTGTTTTATTAATCGTGGCTTGAAACTCCATTTGCAATAAATGCATTACTCATATATGCATTATATTGTTATATATCATGGATAAACATGCAACAACAGTAACAGCCTTCTACAGCATCACTCCACTCCTTTAGACTAGCCGTTTTGTGGTCATTATTAATCGACATGTGCAATACACATACATTCTTGGCCCGTTTTCTGTACAAATCGCTTCCACGCAGTTCTGTATTTCGGCACTCAATATGCGTTGTTCATACTTAATTTCCACGCTCGCTATGTTCTGCCATCATCATTCCAACCTTCCTTGCCATCTCCCACCCTCAGATTTGAGCACACCAGTCTACTATCATCCATTTGTTTAACATGCTCAGACCCTCTCAATCATCCTGCTTATTGGCTTTTGCACTACACATCTCTCCTTTAAAGTCTGAACTAGAAATGCAAAATTCTATGCTCACTTGTGGATTGGTCATAAAGCTCTGAACTTCCGGATTTTGCATTTGATTAAGGAAAGTAGGCAGCATAGTTCGCATCTGCTCCTGGAGAACTTGGTTGCCAGCAAATAATGGATTTGAGCCAATAATTTGTTGAGCTAATTCTGGGTTGGCTGACAGACTCTGAAAGATAAATAAATAAATAAACCAGTTAGAACAATTATTTTAAATACCGTACACTTCTTTATCACATAATATATATTAAAGTAAATTTTACGGTGAAGTCAATAACTGGTGCACCCAAAACAAAATAAAAAAGGCCACCAACCTGAAACATGGTCTGCGTATATGGAGCATTAATCATAGAAGACATAAGCTGTGGATTTTCCATCATCTGTTGCATCAGCGACTGCATTCCAGGACTTTGCAACATCCCTGACAACCCAAGTCCACCCAAGCCTGGGGTAGCTGAAGTGGATGAGGCAGAGGTAGTATTTGGAGTCGAGCTCGTGTTGGAGGTGCTTGTGCTTGACGAAGGTGCGGATGTGGTCGGGGCACCAGGTGTTGAACCACGTGGTGCCCAGGGGTTTGGTAGAGGGTCACTGTTCTCATGACCAGCTTGGGCAGCATCAACTAAAATGAAAAAAACGATAAAATAATTTGATATAAAAGCAAAACTTAGCCTATACTGACCAAACCACACACTAGAAATTGAAGAGACGAAGACGACGTTTCGGTCAGTCCTGGACCATTATCAAGTCGAATGTGATTTTTCAGCCATGTTATTGTGACTTTTTATCTGCAAAACTAGCTTACATTTGTTACACACTGACAATGGGGGTCTATTAACATATTCTGCATCTTAATTAGTACATGGCTTCTTTAACTATTATTCATCACACATACACATGTGCACAGTTTATGTGCAAATGAACCACATAGAAAAATGGGAAGCTTGATTGAGCACTTTCTATTATTTACATAACCATTGTCAAAGTTCAGTCGATCTTCCCATTTTCAATGTTGTTCATTTGCATTTGCTTAGATCAGTGTTACTGATCTTTGTTTGCTCGTGTCTGTGAGAGATACTTTGTGCATTATGTGAATACGGAAAAAATTACTTGAATCTTCAGAAAACAAAATACTCCATGGAAAGAATAAATAGCAATAGGGAGATAGCGAGGGAAGTAAATGGAAATGTTGGCAACAGGCATGGAAAAATGTTAAGTGGTGAAATGATTTAGAAGTACTGTATAAAAAATACTTCAAAATTTCTGATGGGCAGAAGTAAGGAAAATGACATTGATGTTAATATGAATGAATTTCATGGCATGAGAAGAGTGCAAGATACTCACCAGATGACATGTCAACAGGTAAAGAAGTTCATAAGTGAGAAAATAGCAGATATCGAGTTATATGCAAAAATTATTAAAAAGAGGATACGTAAGTAAGTAATTATCAAAAAGAAGGCACCAAACCGTGAAGGTTATGTAAAGAGGATATGTAGAAACAATTAAATGTAGAGTAGGGAAGGAAGAAGATTTGACATGGAGAATTTGTTAGTAAAGGGTCTGCAGGTTCATCCATGCAAGGATTGTCTGAGCATGCACAAGGGGCTCATTTGGCCAAATGCACGGCGGCATGAGCTCCTGACCTATTGTTTTGTTGTGGAAAACTTCTCGGCACTTATGTCTTCCATATTTATACCTCATCTCCCAGTTGGTTCATGCACTCAAACACGTTTAATCTTGTGAGCTAGCAAACTTGACTTTTTACAAACTATTGCTAGAAGGATATAAGTATGAGAATCAGAATATGAAGTAACTTGGCATGCTAAAAGATTTTCCAGAAATGCATATATACCTCACACTGATCAAGAGCCACCTGTATTGAACACAATTTCTCATTTCCTAAAAATTGCCTATATTTGACCAGTTCTAACAACAGCAAAAATATATTTAGTTTGTTTTTACTACAGTATGTACAGTACTGTCTATTCTTTAGATGTCAAGCAGTTTCAGGATTAAGTGAACCTTGACACTGTTTACAAAACTTACTAGCAGCACTGTTGCCTACAAGAGAAGCAAATGGATTTGGACCAAACTGCTCTTGTGCTGCATTCAGCATGGGTTCCTGAATATCTCTGTACATTCTCTGAAGGGCACTATATCCACCTGTAGAAAGAATTGTAATATATTATTAAAATTAATATATTAATAAAATATTTACATTTTTAGTAAATTATATCTTCTCCCACTCTAGTAAATGAACTCAATTCCATTTCCCAGGACTAAACTTCAACTTTTCTAAGTTTCTACATCTATAAATTCTATTTTTTTCTGGTCTTTTCTTACTATTTTACAGTGCAATTTCCTCTCCTACAATTACGTTACAATGTCTTAGACAACAATACTCCCACAATAGTGCTGAATGCTTTCTTCCTTTCACAATCACACTGTGTCGAGAGGCGGGACCAAACAACCAAAGCTCAACCCCCGCAAGTACAACTAGGCAAGTACACGTTAAAGATATCACGAGTCACGCCACACCCACCGGTCCATCTCCTTTCTTCGAATTTCAAGAAAATGAAGCAAAGAGAGATAACGTATCACCACAGAAATCTTGGTAAAGTAGCTATTTAAATAACTTTCTGTCTATATGAAGAAAACCTAGACCCCCCAAGAGTAGTCTCATTCTGACAACATACCTTGGATAGTCCACCCAATAAATTCTTGTCATGTGACCAATTGCACCTCATTGGCTAAGTCCCTTGACACCACCAATGATGCTCCTAGCAAGATCTCTGATCTGCCATTTAAACAAAAACATCATGAATAGTGCAACAAAATGCCCTAAAACAGGCATGTCAAACTGAGGGTCCCCCTTCGAGGGCCATATGGGCCACATTTATGTTATCATGAGGGCCACACACGACAACTAATTGAAGTCATTTAATAAAAATTATGGCAGAATATTTTTTCTATTACTGTACTGTATATTATATTCTATAATAATTACAGTATCCTTTGTGCGGGCTGCAGGTGTGCTTGTAAAAGGCTGCATGCAGCCCAAAGGCAACATGCCCGCCCTAAAATTTCCTAATGCTAACCCAATATGACCGATTATGCCATTATTGTACTAGAATCTAGATGATACAAGCATCATGGGATTTGGCTGAGGTAAATGGAAATAAGCACAAAAAAAGGCTTTGCAAGAAAATCCAAGAAGAATGATTAACTAACTCCCATTAAAGTGGTTTTCCAGGACCAATTACTTTAGACTTAACACTTATCTATGAATATAATACCCTACTTGACAAATTCAACTTTATTTCTTGAATGCTGAAGTAGTTCATGGATAAATTCAGTAGGAAAAAGCTGTATGTCGATAAAGTGAGCAAATGACAAACCTGAAAAAACTGCACACATACACTACAAAAACAAAGAACAGTTAGCTTGGTCCATGCTCATGAAGCCAGAGTGCATCGTAACATTATATCAAAGATGGAAAACAAATGTTAAAACTGATTTCTTTGGACTGCACTGTGCATGTTACTGACCTGGAATTGATTCAAGGTTAGAGAGCGCTCTATCATGAGACCTCATCAATTCTTGCAACATGGCAGGATTTCGTGCTAATTCCATTGTCTGTCTCAGCATCTCTGGGTTGTTAAGCATGTGGGAAATTTCAGGGTTGCGCTGTGGATTGGAGAAAAATTATTTTACTTCTCAGAAGCTAGCTCAGTTGAATGACAGTGATATGACAAGCAGCTTGCAATCCTTGCAATTGTATGACAATGAAAGGCACATGTAAAGGTTAAGAAAAACTTGATATTAGGAGAGGTATGAAAAGATTTGTTAATAAAGCATATGTTGGATGAGAGAGTACAAGAGGACAAGTGATAAATGGTAAACAATAAAAATATACTAGCAACAGAGAAGACACGAAGAATAAGATGTGGCTCAACAGCACAAGGGCAAATAAGAATGGAACTACCATAACACATCAAGATACAAACAGTGTGGTTTATTAATAAAAGGAAGAAATAATTATATTCAGTGTAACACGTACATGCTGGCATAAAGAGCATAGTACAGGTTGGGTGTAAGTACAGCACAGGTTGGTGGACAGAGCACACAGGCTTGTGGCAAGGGCAGAAGGGAGGAGATAAGGAAAAAAAAGGAGAAAAGTCTACAAAATAAATAAGTAAGTGATACATGGGGTTATGTGGTGGTGGCCAAAGATGGTGCTTGCTTACCACTGACTCGGGGGAAGTTAGGATATGTATTATTTGTGATGCCCTGCCTACCAGCCTTGCTGTATCTGGTGCAATTTATTTAAATTCTGCCAACATTGACATTTTTGGTAATATGTATCTGGCTTTGAAGCTGTGCATGAAGGCATCTTCTTCCTTGACAACTTTTGTCATGGAAGACATTCAACTTGTCAATGCTTACCTCCATCAGCTGTTGCATCTGTGGGTTGGATGTAATGATGGCACGCATATATTCGGGGTTATTCATCAACTGCTGGACGAATGGATTATCCATTATCTGTCTCATCATCTCTGGGTTACCGAGCATTTCCCTTTGCATACGCTGTTGCAACTCTTGAAAATTTGGGTTACCCATCCCCATGCTTCCCAATCCACTTAGACCTCCAATACCAAGTCCACCTAATCCACTCAATCCAGCAAATGGGTTAGCTGCATTGGCCTGATTATTTGATGCTGTATTTGGAGTTGTGGTCGACGAGCTCGAGTTATTAGTAGCAGTAGTCGAAGGGCGATTGTTAGGCTGCTGCGTCCCTGCACTTCCACCGCCCTTGATTACTAAATGTACCGTCAGACCATCTTTAATATTGTGCTGATCCAGTTTTTCACCTGTTGAAAAATATTAGGCATTCAGACAAAACACACAACATGAAACAAATTAATAACCACTTACAAGTAATATAAAACTTGGCTTAGAATTTTATGAATGTTATATATTCTTAAATGAGGACAATATGCTTTTTTAATTTCAATTCCAAAAAACATAGAAAGTAACCATCACAGTAGAGCTGGCAAAATACAAGACAAACATCCAGGATGATAACTATAATACAAAATTTACAAATCCAAGATGTAGTGCCCAAATTAATAAAAATTATGACTGACGTCCATCTATTTATTCTAACATTTTGTTTACTCAGCTTGTCAATATATCCCCAACAATTCTTATTGCCCAATTGTAATTCCCACAATATGAAGCTGTTTTATTTAGAAGAGTGCTCTACTTTAAAATACATTAAAGCAGTTGTATGTGGAACTGCTTAAAGCCTAGGAAATGTAAATGATAAGCACATGAAATGGCAAACCTTTGATCGTGTAGTTATTTCTTTTAATTAAAGCAATTTTGTCATAATTCAAGTGGCTATCTTATAAATAATTATCTAACTTGAGAAAATATTTTGCAGTTCGTAGTGAATGTGACAAAGTTCATCAGACAGAGGTTTAATCACACAGTTAAACCAGACAGGAAAAAGAATGTATGTTATGAAAACATATATAAAACAAACTATTTATTCAGGCACCATTTTAAAAACGGAAAACCAGTTTCAAGAAAAAAAAAAACAATAAATGGAATCGAGATTTAAGTTTACAAAATAAAAACTTACCATCTTTCAATATTTTACCGGCAAATATAAGGCAGACTTGCTCCAGGGCTGCATTAAACTTTTCACTGACCACTTCACGTAACTGAAACGTAAACAGTGTTACAGATTAAACACCGACACTAGCCACTCGTAACAAAGTTTAATGAAACTTTTTCGTCCGATATTCAGGAATCTGTAATGATGTACATAGGAAACTTGGCATTTAAATCTACCATGTAAAATGACTTCCTTGAAAAGTTCTATGGAAAAACAGCATAGTAATGAATCATTTCAATAAGAATTTATTTATAAATTAAAAGCTCATTCAATGCTCAGATGGTGAGTAGATATGGAGCATCACCTGCCTCCAATTTTAGTCAGTTATAAAATGAGTTTATTTTGGAGTAAAGTTATGTTTTTTCACATTCAACTTTCAGGACAAACTTTGAAGTAAACAAATGTATTTTTCCTTTATTCACATAATTCCAAGAGGCATTGGGCAGTCTTGGCTCTGGGTAATTACGAACCACAAGAAACCCTCATTAAAATAACAAATATCTTTGTTGTCTGATAAGTTATAGTCTCTCTTATCGATTCACAAAAACTCTTATACAGTAACAGACTTCCTGATGGTATAAAAACTTTAGGCATTATTCGTGAATCTGTTTATTGTAGAATTTATTGAAGCATGTGTAAACAGAAGGTGTAGAGCCCACTCAAAGCAACAGCTTACTAGACCAAGTGAACAAATCCACAGGGCCGTGACGAGGGTTTGAACCTACGTCCGAGAGGATCCCAGACGCTGCCCTAATTGACTGCTACGACTTGGTAGCTCAAATCCACAAGCCCTTGTGGATTTGTTCTTTTGATGCATCACACTATTGTAATTTCTGTGTGTAGTGTAAAGTTACTAGACCAAGTTATACACTGAGCCTGGCCCCCCCAAGCTGGGCTCGGAGTAGAACTCTCAACACCTTCTCCAGGAACATGTATTGTTTAGAAATACTGTACTGTACATATGTTCACTTAAACCATGAGATATTTTAGTATTAAATGATTTATAATGCAGCATGTCTTTCAATCTTTCTTGAAATGTAAAACCATTTACATTTTTACATGTGTAGGACAAAAATTTAATTTCAAATACAGTACAATACCCCATACTATAAATTTCATGATTATGGATCAAGCTTTACAATTTATGAAGTGGCTTATACAATATAAGAACTTTTGTACCCACCAATAAACTGTAAATTGTATTATACAGTATAAATAACTACATTGTATTACTATTACAGTACTGTATTTTATCAGTACTGTATCATCCTTATTCAATTAATAATTTATGCTTCCCAAAATTTATACTGTTGAGGTATATTATTGGTAACTGCAATTTACAAAACATTAAAATTCACATTGTATGCCAATATATTGCCCTAAGAGAGGTTAGGTAAGGCATAAGTCATTATTTACTGGGCAGTATTTTACATTTTTTATCATCTTGCATGGCTAAACAAATTTTGAATTACAGTACAGTACTTAAAACGGAAAATATTTTAAAACTTGGGTTACACTATTTTTCTGAATTAGAATTCGTTGGCTTAGTCTTCAATATTTAATTTGCCATGACTTATTTATTATGTAGGCCTAACATATCTAAAATAATTGGGAACTTTAATTACTGTATTTACACACAGAAACCACAATAGCGAGTTGCATCAAATGAACAAATCCACAAGGGCCGTGACGAGGGTTCAAACCTACATCCGAGAGGATCCCAGATGCTACCTTAATCGACTGAGCAACGACAGCCCAGTCGATTAAGGCAGCATCTGGGATCCTCTCGGACGTAGGTTCAAACCCTCCTCACGGCCCTTGTGGATTTGTTCAGTAGTGTTATTTCTTAATTGCTTATGCCTAAAAAGTGCTAAAAACAAAACTGCATTTACCACCAAACTGTTTTGGTGACCAGGATAATTATATTTTGAAATTTACTTATTTCCAATGGGAAACTGGTAAATTCACATCTTTTCACTCACAAAGTCAGAAAAACAAAAATGAATAAAAATTAACATGTATTTATTTTAAAGTTATACAAAAACAACCACAATAGATTTAGAAAGTGGTATTTTTGAGATTTACAATTACAGTATACTGTAAATCACTTCCATGAATCAGCCCTCAAATGAGGTCTTGCATCATATCATTATTATACTGTTCTTGGTAGCAGTATTTGGACTACAGTACATCCTGGTTGAAGCACTTGCCTTGTTCTTCCAAGTATGCTCCAAAGTTCTCCTTGAGTTTATCATGATGAGCAAGTAAAAATTTGGTATGGAAGTGACTCAATTGGTTTCTCTTAGCTTAAATGAACAGCAGTTAATAAAGTAATTATATAAAAACAATAACTTGATATGGTGACTTTTGCCTTCATAAAATATATATTTATTAAGTTATGACGGGCCTGACAGCTGAGTGGACAGCGCTCGGGATTCGTAGTACTAAGGTTCCGGGTTCGATCCCTGGTGGAGGCGAAAACAAATGGGCAGAGTTTTTTCACCCTGATACGCCTGTTCACCTAGCAGTAAATTGGTACCTGGGAGTTAGACAGCTGCCATGGGCTGCTTCCTGGGGGGTGTGTAACAAAACGGAGGCCTGGTCAAGGACCGGGCAGCAGGGATGCTAAGCCCCAAAATCATCTCAAGATGACCTCAGGATGGTCACACACGAGGATTTATATTCAACAATATTCAACCTGCAGTATTTATAGAAACTTATTGTGTAGGAGAAAGTATGACTTGAATATGGTTTTAAGCCAAGAGTCGTCAAGGTGTTGTGATACAGGCATGTTTTAGGGTTCAAGTTTGTAGATGATCTGTTGAATCATGACGTAAATGCCAAAAAGGAGATAGGATGAAAAAGTTTCCTGAAAACTTGCGAACTGCTTCATTCCCCAAAGCTTTTTATCCCATTATATCCCATGTAAATAGCACAGCATTCTATGGAACTGTATCCAACATATCCAGAATCCTCAAGTCAAGTGGCCGTACACTATTCAACTGATTTTTCAATCAACAGAGAAATTTTTTCACAGACATGGTCCACTCACACATCATACTCCAAATACAGCCGACTTAAATTGGAACAGCCGCCAATTTAAACTCTACTCTTCCAATTTGCTAATCTCTTCAAGATTTTCTAGATGCAATAGGTTAAAGCTGATACAAGTCACATTGTGCCCAAGATAGTTCGCCAATAGATTTTAAAACCTAAGCCAACCCAAAGTAACCCAACCAAAGCTAACAGCGTAACCTAACAATATTTATCTTTTGAACAAATGAAAAAAAGATTTGTTCAAACATTGGTGAATAATTTGACCTTACCCCAGCGGGGCTAGGCCAGGCCTTACCCCAGTGGGGCTAGGCCAGGCCTTACCCCAGCGGGGCTAGGCCAGGCCTTACCCCGCCGAGGCTAGGCCAGGCCTTACCCCGCCGAGGCTAGGCCAGGCTTACCCACCAAGACTAAAGCCTAAGCCTAGTTAGGTTTAGAAACCAGCCATCAAAAGTGAGCCAATAGGACACTTTGTACACAACTTCAAAAACCTCCCCTAGGCCTAACCCAACCCCATTAAAACGAACGAGTGAATAAAACAGTACCACAGACTTAACAAAAACAAATAAAATATGAATAAAAAGCTGAATAAATCGATAATTTAGACAAAATATCAGCGAGTAACGCCAGTGTACGAAATGACAAGTCACGTGTACCAAACGCCCACCACCACCACCACTCCTCCGGCTCGCCTTTCACAAACTCCAAGCTCATGTTTAAACCCTTTAACCTCTTACAACCCCGTCTAATGGAGCTTAAAGGTCAGGCCTAGAGGCCTAAGGAGGCCATAGGCCAAGTCCAATAGGCATAGAAAGCTAAGGGTTGAAGAAGGAAACTTCTAGACTGGAGAGACAACAAGCTGGCATGCCTTGGCCCTCCTTGAGGGTAACGTGGCGATACTTACCTCTTTTACCGTCGCATCTCCCAAGATCTCCACCGTCTGCTTGTCCTTGGCGGTCTTTACCGTCAGGCTGATGGTTTTGCTGCCCTCGCTACCTTCAGCCATTGTTATACAAGGTTAAATTCGACGATTACTCTCCACAATTGTCATCAATCTGAATGACGAAACATGATGAGTCACATCAGATACTGTGGACAAACTCCTCTCCTGATGAATACAATGTGACAAAATCAATACTATGATTATAGGTCGGTATTTAGTCATATTTGGATGCTGCTCTGTCAAAATGTGTTATATTGGTATGTTTATTTGGAGTATATCATAGACTTTTATTTGGAGAGCGAGTATGATGTCGGGCGAGTGGCGGGAAAATGTGACGTCGTCTGCTGGGGTTTAAACATTAAATAAGGTCACGAATACTTTATAATGAATGCATTATGAAAATGTTAGTTTTCTCACGTGAAATCGTTTTAAATTATTAAAACGTTTATGATATAATCGAAATGGATCCATGATTGAACAGTCGCTATACATAATATACCCCATATTATATATACACATATAAATATATACGTGATTTAAACAGGTCAAACAACGGTCCAGTTATAACCTTTCATATATGAAGGTTAATTTTTTTCATCGATACTAAGTACACGAATAAATAATTAGGAAGGCTATTTTCGCCTGCCCCTCAAGGTTGTCATATTATATAGGTCAATACGAGGCTCAACCTTAACTTTGCTTAATGGCATTGCACTACTCCCCAGGGATATATATTTCTCTATCCTTAAAGCAGGAGAGACTTTCCTGATTGCTTGTTTGACTTTGACAAATACATACACACATAAATATGTATCTTTCCATATGTATATTCATAGAAGCTGGTCAAGCAAGATTCCTGCATAGCATTAAATTTGGATACAAACATACTATCAGGTATAAACAGTGGATAATTAATTTAAATACAATATATAAGGATATATCTATACATATACATACTCAGTAATTAGGTTGTATAATTTAGAAAAACACTAAAATAATTCATATAATTTGCCCTACAAATCAGCTGTAGTTGGTTCCCATCCCTGAGGAGCAGCAGCAGACGAATCCTCTTGCAATCATGACTGGCGAGAAACTGTCCCAAAATATCCTTCAAAACTATTGAAAGTTCTCTTAAACCAACATTTAAATTGATCTTATTTTACAAAAAGAGTAATTTTGTCAATCAGCGCTGACATAAATAGCGTTAAATGGCAATAATTGCAAGAGTTGCGTGCGACTGCACTCGCTGGCGGATGGGAAGGAGAGAGGTAGCTCCCAGTGGATCAAGGCTGACTACAGTCGCTCTTCTGCCCCAATTATCAACTCATTATCCATCTCCGGCCATGTTGAGGCGGAGTTTAACGCGTTTAGCTTCCTCTACCCTCGGGAGAACGCTCGAGACCCCCGGCACTTGGTCATGTAGCTGTCCACGAGGGCTGAGAACCGGGCCAGTCGTCCAAGCTCTCTTCAACGTGCAAGACGAAGCAGATTTCACAGACAGAGTTCTCAAGTCGTCGACTCCTGTCGTCGTGGCTTTCCACGCCCAGTAAGATAAGACGGTGTTGTGTCCGTGTAAGGTGCTCACCTATTTGTATATCACCTATTTGTGCTTGCGGGGGTTGAGCTCTGGCTCTTTGCTCCCGCCTCTCAACCGTCAATCAACTGGTGTACAGATTCCTGAGCCTATTGGGCTCTATCATATCTACACTTGAAACTGTGTATGGAGTCAGCCTCCACCACATCACTGCCTAATGTATTCCATTTATCAACCACTCTGACACTAAAAAAGTTCTTTCTGACTCTATGACTCACTTTGGGCACTCAATTTCTGGGTAGGACAGAAATGGTTGGGCATGTTTCATTTCACATAATAATTAATAATAATTCATTGGGTCGAGGGACAGGTAGCCAGTTTATTCAGATGTTAGGCTTATATCAAGGTCCCCCCCCCCCCGGTCAAATTACTGACCCAGGGGGGAAGTAATTAAAAATTACTGATGCAACCCCCATAATAAGCTGACTAACTCCCGGGTACCAGTTTACTGCTAGGTGGGCAGGGGTCATTAGTGGGGAAAGGAAACTCGCCCAACCATTTTTGTCTCGTCTGGGATACGAACCTGGAATTCTCGGTTGTGAGTTGAGAACAACCCTGACTATTACCTTAGAGCCTCTGAACATAATGCTTCTGAACATAAATAAGTAATGAATATTAATAATATAATTAAATTAATGAACATTAATAATGAATAATAATCAAATTAATGAACATTAATAATTAATGAACGTAATGTTTCTGTTCACCTATCAGTAAATAGGTACCCAGGAATTAAGTAACTGTTGTGGACCGCATTCTGGAAGTAGTCATATTTTTCGACCTTCGGAATACTGGTACAGGTACCTCAAAAATGCTTAATGTATATACATACATAGGCTTCCTGTCTGACAAAACTGGTTATTAATTAGTTCTTGTTACATATAAATGCAGTAACCCACACGCCTGTATCCTAGTATTGTAGTGTAACACAAACAATTCCAGACCATATTCTTATAACATTTTGACCAGAATGTTTCTTGCGTGCCTCACACAAGTGTGTTTCTTGGGGGCATCACGGCTGAGTATACAACACTCTGGGGTTCGCAGTCCTAAGGGGCGGGGTTCGATCCCCGGCAGAGGCAGAACCAAATGGGCACAGTTTTTCATCCTGGTGCACCTGTTTACCTAGCAGTAAATAGGTATCTGGGAGTTAGATGGCTGCTACGGGCTGCTTTCTGGGAATGTGTGTGTATTAGAAATATGTGAACTAGACATAATAGAGGAAAAATAAATTGGTTAGAAATTTGGGGTCCATGAGCTAATAGCTCGATTCTGCAAACGCACAAATAGTTAATACAAAATTTGCAGATACAAATAGTAAATATACACACAGTTGTACCTTAGTCTTTAGTGGGGGTTTACACCCTAATTTTTTTCCTTTACCTATTGATAGTTTTAATTTATTAAACTTTTTGCTATATCCTTATGAACTGTTAACTAATTTTCATCACATGGGAACGTATATATGCATTGTACATTGTTCAAATTCAAATGTTTATTCGGGTAAAGTACATACATACAAGGGGTGATACAAATATTGAGGAGTTTATAGAGCTAGTACATACAATGCCTAAAGCCACTATTACCTAAAGCGTTTCGGGCAGAAACGTTGTTGTGTTCATACTGTTGCTAGCTACTGGTAACAAAATTTTCTGATTTACAAGAATACACAGTAGCCAATTATTGCTTTCTTTCATTTAAGGATTTGTATTTGCCCTTCCTGAACAGGCTTGACTAATAAATAAGATTTTTTAGATTTGTTTGCAAGAGCTTGATATGCATATCCTCCATAGGTATTTTTAGTAATACAATTCAATACTGAATTTGTTTTTGTATATTGATTTAATTTGTCTGTATCATTAGGAATACCTTTTCCCTTTAAATTTGCTTGTCTCTTAATCAAACTGGACATTTTTCACTGTAAATTATTAATGTAGTAATCGATCCTTTACAGATGGTGTGGACCCTGTAAGCTTCTTGGCCCACGTCTAGAGACCATTATTGGAGGAAGGGGAGATAAAGTTCACCTGGCTAAAGTTGATATCGATGATGTTTCAGATATCGCACTCGATTATGGGGTGAGTTATAATACAGTACTGCATTTAGGATTTTTGTTATTTTTTGTTATTCTGTATTAGCTAAGAATTAATGAAATAGAGCAAATTAGAGAAAACACTCTAATCTACCCACAAAATTATACAAAATCTACCCTCATCACCTGATACCTGATCAACCAGGCTGTGACTCATACGTCAGGCTGCGAGCAGCCGCGTCTAACAGCCTGGTTGATCAGTCCAGCAACCAGGAGGCCTGGTCGACGACCGGGACGCGGGGACACTAAGCCCCGGAAGCACCTCAAGGTATCACCACATCTTTCACACTAAATACTGCACCATCACACTCCAGCAGTAAATCCACTACTTCATACAACTGGTGAAAAGTGTTTCCCGTAACTTATTAAAAAAAAAATCGAACATTCAGTCTCTTAAATGATTGAATTCAGTTATTACCATTTCTCATGTGCTGTTCATATAGAATTCGTGTGTTTTCACACTGACCATCTGTCCATCTTATTGGGCTTCATCTTCTACCTTTAGTTTTACTCACTTTCACACTTAAATACTACCCATGTCCATTCATTCAGTATGACCAGCTCTTCTCGATGAACTCTCCTCACTCTTACACTGACATTTTCAGTCGTTGATCTTTCCTAGCACCACAAATACATTTCAAATTGTCCATTTCTACAAGAAAAACTGCCGAGTTTATTCTTTCACAGGAAAAAGTTTGTAGGGAAATATAGCATCATAGGATTTAGAAAGCTGATAGGTGGAAAGGTAAATACAAGTTGAGAATAAATTTTCAGTTTTTGTGTTAAAGTTTTGTTTTGAAAATGAGGTGAAAGCTAAAGTTGATATTGATTTTACAAATGCTAAACCTTTGTAAATTTGTGTTCCTAATATTTTGTAATCTTTAATTTTGTAGGTCTCTGCTGTTCCTTCTGTCCTTGCGGTAAAAGATGGTAAAGTTGTTGATAAGTTTGTGGGTCTGCAAGAGGAATCCAGGATTGAGGCGTTTGTTAACCGCTTGATTGGAGAATAAAAACCTCAATCTAAATACAGTTTAGAAAATCTGGAGGAACTTGTTCATTTAGTTGAATATCCAACAACAATGAGCATAATAAGTTTGCCACGATGTTCGTTTTCCATTTTCTTCGTGGTTCTTTTTCCATTTTCTAAGTAGTTACTGAATTTCTATTTTAAGACATGGAGGAACATCGATTCTTAACCTATATTACTCCTCTTGTGCACATGTACCTGTGAACAAAGCAAAACTGCAGGGAAGACATGGACATGCTATGGAACCTGTGACTGAATATTAATCTCGACTATTCTGCCTCGGATAAAATAAATGATGCACATACACTGTGCTGTATTACGGTGCTTTTTCAGCAGTTGCGTCTTTGTTACAGTGGTTGCATTATGCATGTAAACAGTCTATACAGGTATATATACATTTTCTCCATGAAATAATAAAGTAGTGAGCCTTCCTCACTTCACTCATTTAGAAGGTGCATGATGCTGTGCAGAATATTTTACTTAATATTTTGTTTTAGTCTGCATCTAATACCTTCGTCTGTATATGAGGTGTAATTATTGTAGTCTTAGTGTATAATAAAGGATTGTTCTTTGTAAGGAAAATATTATTTATTTTAATGCCATGTATGCGTGTGTGTGTACATTGTCACACACACACATATACAGATGCATATACACATAAGTGTACAGTTCACACACAGTTATGTGCACATACCAGTGCTGCAAGCACATCAAGATGCACATGAACACTATAGCATGCCCACTCCAAGAGCTAGAGCTTATTTCTTACAAATGCTTAGATAAGTGCATACACCATACTAACTGACCAATGATTAAATGTTATGCATAATAATAATTTAAACTTTTAATAACTTTCAAAAATATATACACGTCTCTAACCAAGAGAACTTGGGCTTTCATTCTTGTCTCTTTGTCATATGAAAACACTGCTATAGTGAATAACTTCCTTGCCTTCATGACATATACTGACATATATTGCCTCTTAGGCAATGGTTAATGCCCCAAGTTTATGCACCTTTTTTTTTATTAAATATAAATTGTATGTGTTACCCACAGGCAGAATTTTTGCAAGTGAGGAAAAGTGATGTAATTGATCTTGTTACCTGCACTAGATAAATGTATATAGATTAAATGGATCTTTCAGTATTCATTATTTTGTAGTTTGAATTATTTAAAATTGTGTGCTGTGCTGTAGGATTATGTATATGCAATACTGTAAATGAAAGTTTAAGATTTAGTTAGGTAATTATTGCACAATACTATATGTAAATACAAATACTGTAAATGTACGAGATTTGGCAGCTTGATCGTGTAGGCAGAAATAATAAATACAAATAGTAAATAAACACATATTGTTTACATAAATGATCTACCAGAAGGATTACAGAATTACAGTATATGAACATGTTTACTGATGATGATAAGCTACTAAGGAAGATAAGAGACAGATGATCGTCATGCCCCTCAAAATAGCCATGAGAAGATAAATGTATGGAGCACCACATGGCAAATGGAATTCAATGAGAATAAATGCCATGTTATGGAAAGTGGGATAGGAGAGAATAGTCCTCACACAACCTAAAAATTATATGGAAAGGAATTTAAGAACTCTAACAAGGAATGAGATCTTGGAATACTTCTGGGTAGTAGACATATGCTTTAGAGGAGCACATGCTGCACTTTACAACTTCAGAATTGCTTTTAAATACATGGATGGTAAAATACTAAAAAAACTGTTCATGACTTGAGACCAAAATTGGAATATGCAGCGGTTGTATGGTGCCCATATCTCAAGAAGCATATCAGTAAACTGGAAGAGTTGCAAAGACATGCTACAAAATGGCTTGAGAAATGAAAAACGAGCTATGAAGAGGTTAGAGGTGTTAAATTTACAAAAGCTAGAAGCTAAGAGGCAATGTGATCATATACAAAATAGTAACAGCAATCTACAAAATTGAAATGAGGAATTCTTGAAACCGGCAGAAGTACAAAGAGGTCATAGATTCAAACTAAGGAAATGAAGGTGCCAAAAACAAAAAAAAATATAAATTTTTCTTTTGCAAACAGAATGGTAGATCTTATCTTGAGATGATTTCGGGGCTTTTTTAGTGTCCCCGCGGCCCGGTCCTCGACCAGGCCTCCACCCCCAGGAAGCAGCCCGTGACAGCTGACTAACACCCAGGTACCTATTTTACTGCTAGGTAATAGGGGCATAGGGTGAAAGAAACTCTGCCCATTGTTTCTCGCCGGCGCCTGGGATCGAACCCAGGACCACAGGATCACAAGTCCAGCGTGCTGTCCGCTCGGCCGACCGGCTCCCCAGATGGGAAAATATAAAATTTTATAGAAATGTGTGTAGAGTGGTAGATGGACCAAGTTAAGTGAGAAACCGGTGAATGCAAAACAGAAATCGTGCTTAAAATCCTTATAGTTTCGTTACTATCTAAACTGAAGTAAGTTTCAGATAGAGCATTGTTCTCTAATATGATTAGCTGTTCAGCTGAGTTTGCTGCTTACTTAGTTATAATTTGGGAGCAAAATATGATTCCAAGTGGGTTTGTAGGTATATAGGTTTGTAGGTATGTATTCCTACATTTAATATTGCAGATAATAAAGCACAATAATTGGGCTGAGAAAAAAAAAGTCATCTTTGGTCTATCCGACTTACTAAAGGTCCAAGACGAACAGAAACTTTAATTTTCACTACATTTCATCTGTGCCTTAGTTTTTTTCATTAACCCAAGGCACAATCAATACTAATAAATTTACTTCAATAAAGTGTTGGTACAATACCAGTGATCCGAGACCTGGTTTCAGAAACAGCCTCTTCCTGATACGATTATATTATAATATCAATATACTGTATATATTTTTGAGGAGGGGAGGGGGGTGTGAGAGCTGGAGGGAGACATCATCTATATGTAAATGAGGTGTGGGTGGCGTCGTTTGATGTTAGGGGCGCCGCACGTTGTTTACCCTCATTGGTGTGCTGCCCGGGTCTCGTACCAGTTCACTCCTCGTATCATAAGTGGTTGAGTAAAAATGTCTACACTTATCAAATTGGATATATCTTTTTAAGTGAAATCTCTATCTGTACTCCACTATTCAAGTATATATACACACCCCATCACCATGAAGCCATCCTATATATATATATATATTGGTATATACTGGCAGCAGGTTTCTATTTACATGTTTCATTGAATATGACTGCATATTCTGTATTGATTATTTTCTTGTACTGTAACACCATGACAAGAGAAATGTTGAATACAATTTTTGTATAATGGATAAAACCCTAGATGTAAGAAGATTATAAATTCTTGAAGCAATCCACATAAGAGTAGAACAGCCCACCATAAATAACCCAAATAATGGAACTATTCACTCCACCCACCATGAGAGTAAGAACAAGACCAAAACGTGAAGATGTCAACAAACTGCTCAAAATGTCACGCCCACTACACCTGATTAATCTTTGAATGTGCTCCCCCCTCCCTTACCCTTTTTTCACCTTATTCTTCACCTTTTTACGCCTTACTCTTCAGCCCTATACGTGCCTTCTTTGATAATTACTTACCTCAGCCCCATACATCTTATTCTTCACCTATTTGTATGTACTTGACCTGCCTAATGGTATAAATCCAATACGCCCCGCACTGTCCCATTCACTTGAGAATGAACCATGTAGGTTCGAAACGTTGTGTACATTTATAATAAGTGTAATACATTCTACAGTTACTTATTTCTTTTAGTTTACCTTGAACAAATATGACATTTGGAGAAATCCTCTTCCAATTAAACCAAGATGCAAGAGTCAGAGGAATAGAAGCCCTAAACAAGACAATAATCAACACTGAATATGCAGTTATATTCAATGAAATATTTATATAAATATAAAAATTTCGAACTCAAAATTATTTAGAAAAATGCAGTATAATTATCTTTACTTATCATTTTGAGCTTCTATAGTTACGATCTTCTTCCCCAACTCTGTCTATGACTTGGAGAAAAATCCAAATCGTCAACAAAAAATTCCAAATCCACCAACAAAGAAAATGTAAAATCCGCCATGAAAAAAAATCTAATTGGAATGAACTTTGCAGGATGACTAGTCTGTGTTTGGGGCCGATCATGAGCGGGTGGGGATTATCCCCTCCCTCTAACTCTTGCATGCATGCCGTTGCGTAAAATGACAAAAGATACTAAATTAGAAATTTTGCTAAACAAAAGACTCAAACTACACTAAGATTACATGGATGACAGGAAAGTGAAAAGTAGATAAGATGATTAATGGAACCTTCCATGTCATTGGTGAAGGATAGGGAAGATGGTGAATGTTTATTCAGATGTTTATTCAGGTAAGGTATATACATACAAGTGATGTTACATTAATGGATTGATATATAGATAGAGCTAGTACATACAATGCCTAAAGCCACTATTACGCATTGCGTTTCGGGCAAGAAAAACATTAATATCTAGAACTTAATACTAATTGAGCATAAAGAATAATAAGTGTTGAGAACAAATACAAATAAAGATAAAAAAAAAGGGGGAACATGACTGAAAAAGCAGCACAAATACAATAGGTTGACAAACAGTGTTGATTAAAAAAAAAGAAAAATAACGGACATGGGTTGACAATAGAGGAGTGAGGTAGGTTACAGGGAATTTATTAGGTAGTGTTTAGTTTTTATCTTAAACTGGTTGAGAGAGGTACTGTCTTTAACATGGTTGGGAAGGTCATTCCACATTCTGGGCCCCTTGATTTGTAGAGCATTTCTGGTTTGATTAAGTCGTACTCTAGGAATATCAAAACTGTATTTATTTCTGGTGTGGTGCTCATGGGTTCTGTTACAACCTTCTATGAAGCTTTTGAGATCAGGATTGGCATTACAATTTAGCGTTTTGTATATGTATAGTACACATGAGAGAATGTGCAGTGACTTAATGTCTAACATATTCAGGGATTTGAATAGGGGTACCGAGTGATGTCTGGGGCCAGAATTGGATATTGTCCTAATAGCAGCTTTGTGTTGAGTAATTAGAGGACGTAAATGATTTTGGGTAGTAGAGCCCCAAGCACAAATACCATAGTTGAGATATGGATAGATAAGGGAGTAATAGAGAGTCACCAGGGCAGGGCGTGGTACATAATATCTGATCTTAGAAAGAATGCCCACAGTTTTTGAAACTTTTTTAGATATGTTTAGAATGTGTCCCTGGAAATTCAGCTTGTGGTCAATGAGAATGCCAAGGAATTTGCCATCTAATTTGTTACAAATTTGGGTATTGTTTATTTTGAGATTTATTTGATTAGAGGATTTATTGCCAAACAGAATATAGAAAGTTTTGTCAATGTTAAGGGTGAGTTTGTTGGCAGTTAGCCACAGATGGACTTTATTTAGCTCAGTATTTACTGTGGCATTTAGAGCAAGGGGATCAGGACTGGAGTAAATGAAGGTTGTGTCGTCAGCAAATAGGATTGGTTTGAGGTGTTGGGAGGCATTTGGAAGGTCATTAATGTAGATGAGAAAGAGGAGAGGGCCAAGTATGCTGCCCTGGGGAACAATGTTGATGGGTAGGGTGGGAGAAATTGTATTATTCACAGAAACACATTGGAGCCTGTCAGTAAGGTAGGATTTGAGGTATTGTAGGGAGTGTCCTCTGACACCATAATGATGTAATTTAAGAAGAAGGTTTTGGTGGTTGACAGTATCGAAAGCTTTACGCAGGTCCACAAATAACCCAACAGGGAACTCATTTTTATCAAGAGCTGTATGAATCGAGTTAAGCATACTAATAAGTGCATCGTTAGTGCTTTTTTTGGGCCTGAAGCCATATTGGCAAGGGCTAAGTATATTGAGTTTGGCTAGATATGAGTAAAGCTGCTTATAGATTAGTTTTTCAAAAATTTTTGACAAGTTTGGCAGGATTGATATAGGTCTGTAGTTGTTAACATCTGTGAGATCACCACATTTGTGGACAGGCGTTACTCTCGCTTTTTTTAGAATATCTGGAAAGGTTTGGAGTTCAAGTGACTTGTTGAAGAGCAAAGCAATAGCAGGGGCTAAAGATCTGGAGGCTTTTTTGTAGATTAAAGTTGGTATCTCCTCAAGGGCACCAGACTTGGTTTTAAGGGAAAGGATTATCTCATTGACGTCAATGGAATTAATAGGCTTTAGGTACAGAGACTGGGGATAGTTCCCTGTCAGATAGTCCTTAATGTCAGTACTGGAAGATGGAATATCATTAGCAAGGGATGAACCAATGGAAGAGAAGAACCTATTGAACTCAATAGCAGAATCAGAGGCTGAAAGCTGACCATCGTTATTAGACAGGA